TCTTCAGGATTTCGCCTTTCCTAAGAAGGGCCTTTTGCAAGTGTGCTTGAAGGGGCAACTTCCAGACATCCTCTCTCTCCTCACAGGCTGGAAGAATAAAGGTCTCTGGGCATAGAGCACATTCCCCCTGCGCGCACACGCACACACACACACACACACACACACTATCCCTGAGGAATGAGAATCACCTGCTGCCTTCCCCTGTCCTGCTGGATCCCCAAACAAGGATGCTCTTCAGCCCGAACCCACGTCCCCTCTATTCCCAGTGCCCCTCAATCCCAACCCACAGTCTTCTCCTAGGTACACTGCTCCTCACTCCCAACCGGAGTCTACTCCTCTTCACCCTTCTCCTCTGTCCCAACTCACAGCCCCCTCCTATTCCCAGTGCCCCTCAATCCCAACCCACAGCCCCCTCCTCCTTACGCTGCTCCTCAATCCCAACCCACAACTTGCTCCTTCCCTCCAGCAGCAGGTGCTTCAGACCCCCTAAGGAAGCTTTTCTTGCAAGGTTTCATGTGTGTGTCTGCATGTGGATTTTACAGTATGTTGGAAATTTCTATATTAAATATGTAAGCGGGATCGGAATGAGCTCTCCCCAGATAATCTAGTGATGAGCTGTGGAAGAGGACTTCTGGAGCTGATTCATTTGCATGGGCACACACACCCTGTCTAGGTGCTCAACATGATGGGATTGCTTGCTGAAATGATCACTTTTGACTGGTGTTGGATTCCCAGTCTCCTTGTTATTGGGGCAGGAGTAATAAAGTGTTGTTATCCTTGTTGTGTGAATCGAGGGCAGAAGAACTGTGCTTGGAATACCCCAATTGAGGGACTCCCCAAGAACTGCTGGGTGCAAGTCCTGGGCCTGATGTGAAGTAAACGTAGGGGTGACTCTGCCTGCCTAGACTTTTCATTAGAAAAATTCAGACACAACACTATGTCTGGTGAAGAGATACATGTGTTGTTTGATTGTTTTTCTCATTTTAAATGTACTTGATCATTTCCATGGGAAAAATATTTGAACGAGACCATGATAAAAGGAAGAAACCGTGAAAATACCCATGGGAGAGACGGGGTTCCTGAGAGCCAGGGTAGAGATGGAGATTTTCATGAAATGGGGACAGGCCAAAAGTAGGGCCTTTAGCTGGAGCAAAGGGGAAGGTTTTTTGTGCAGTTCCATGTTAACCAACCTCACACCCTGTAATCCCTAATGCCCCACCCTACCTGCAACAAGTGACCTAGAGCCTCCCCACTGGCAAAGCCACCTGTGACTCCGGAGACAGCCCCACTGGCCTGGCCCTTCTCACCACTGCAAAAACTGCAGATCCCCCAGCACTCTCTCTCCTATCTGGATCTCCTGGTAATCAGATGTCTCTGCAGAATTACCGTGGTTACTCTCCTGGGTGTCTGTTCAAGGACAGCTACTGGCTTCTCCTGAGAATGTAGATGAGAAATGACTTACTCTTCTCTAGATTCTCTCCTGTGGGCTCTGAGAAGTAGGATGGAGCATGTATGATAAAGTCCATGCTACATCTCAGCCCTGATATGTCAGCAGTTGCCCGCTATCCCCTGGCAGCTGCAAAGCATGTTTCCCACCATCCAGGAGACACCAGACTTGGACCAAAGGCAACTTCAGGCTTCTCCTCTCTCCCTTCTTGGAATCCAGTTCATGTTTTTGCCAAGAGTTAAAGCAGCCCAAACCCCCAGAATCTGGATTAATGTCACAAGTTTGCAATCTCTCCAAGGAAGACAATTTTTTAAACCCCAGATGAGTGGAGTTAAATTGGTTCTCAGCCTGAGTCTTTGCTCTTAATCCTGAGGATATTGTCCCACCAAGGGGCCATTTCTCACCTCTCTTTTAAAATGAAGCATAATTTTCTTTGCACAGACACAGGAACAGCAAGATCTTTCTCTGTCCCTTGTGCTAAGCAGGTGTCAAATTCCATGGAACCTTCCTCTTCTGCAATGGAGACAATGGACAAGCAGGGGACCCTGGGCACATCCAGCCCTGGCAGTGAGATGTTCCCTCCGCTCTTTCTTTATGCTGTTGTTGTTATTTCATGGAATGTGTGGGATGGGGGGAAAAGGCTGAGTTCACTTCAGGTTGAGGGAGAAGAACTCTGAAAATCTCAGGGCCTCAGGGAAAACCCAACCTCTGCTACCAGGAACACTGAGGTGCTGGAGATCTGCATGGGAAATGGACTGTCTAAATTGTCTAGGTGGGGAATGAATAACAATCTACAACTAGATCCACCTCATTCACCACTGACCGAGGCTAATCATGCTGCAGACAGAAGGGAAACTGGGAGTAATTCTTTCCTGTACAGCCATGGAAACAATGACCCAATTGCACCGCAATGAATATGCTGGGGAAAGCTGGACTTTACAGGCAGGTGGAAATAGCAGATCCTAGAAACACCTGGAACTTCCCACCCCACTTTTGCCCCCAGGGTCAGGTGTTGAGCTACTCACAGCACCCCCCACCACCATTACTTTCCAGCAGGGGATTGCAGTACCCCCCCACCCAATGCAGGGGAGAAGGCTGATTGTATCTGAGTCCAAGGCATGCACTCTCTCTGCCCTACACATAGAATCTGGCCCTGCTTCAAAGTTACCCATATGAACCAGTAGGCTACACGAGAGCATGATTGGCCCTCAGAGAATGGGAATTGGCACCAATGAGCTTTTGTCACACATGCACTGAACTATACAGTCATACCCTGAGATCATAGAAAGGCCAGCACAAAAAAGAGGGAGAGGAACAATAAGATACTAAAATGACAATGGTTGGAACTCTCCATTTCGCTCAGTCTTTGCATTCATGGACACTAAGAGCTGTAGCTACAGTTGAGGAACCAGGCGATCGGACAGCTGGCTCAGCCCTCTGTACTAGTAGCTTTCTCACATACAGGGAGAGGGGTCAAAATCGCATAGGGATCAATCTGTCTAAGGCTATGTCTACACTTCAAACACTGGAAGTATTCTTCTGACAACCTAACACTGTCTACACTGGGGCTCACATTAACTACTTCTCTCAGTGGAGTAGATTTTTCACACCCCTGAGAGATGTGGCTATGTCAACATAGCTTTTCAGTGTAGACCAGCCTCTAGCTGGATTTTTGATATGAAAGGAAACAGAGTAATCAGCCTTTTCCTTAATATTGATGGTTGACGACTGCAACTTTCCTACTTGCTGGACACATCCTATGACAGATGTCATGCCTTTCCGTTGCAAATTAAGGAAGTGGGGAAGTCAGTGACCCTTACAGTCTAAATGGGTAAAAAGTTATACAACTGTCTCCTTGAGTAGTTTTCCGTTTAATAGAAATTGACTTTGAAGCTAAGCAAAATAGGTTTTATTTGAAATACAAAAAATTAAAGTCGATACTGGGCCAATATTCTCTTATACACTCTTTCTCACACACATTCTACCACCCCAACCTTTGCAGTGAGGTTTTGTACCAGAGCGCCTCACGCTACAGGGAATAGATTACATAGGCTAATAGGCTATTGAATTGTGGCTAATGCATGTGGCTTTTTTATAATGTGGCTAATAAAAATTCAAAACCACAAGTGTGGCTAGCATCGAATTTCTATTGGACACCACGGATCTATACAGTCCCAGTTCATATTAATAACGTCACATTCTAACAATAACTTTGAAACAGGAGGAATGGTATTAATATGACGCTCCCTGGTTCCCGATAGGAAGGGCACACTCGAATTAGAGACCTATTTGTCCACCTCAAAACAGGGAGAACTGCAAAAGGCAAAAATGGGCCAATCAACTGGACAAACTGAGGGATAACGGTGCTGCAAACAGTCAAACAGCTTTAAAAGTTACTATGTGGGAATCAGGAAAAGTATTAAAGAAAAAAAAATAATGGTAACCCTAGAGGTTTTTATGGTTTTGATCTCCCTTGCAGATTCTCTGATCCCTAACATGGTCTGAGTGCCAAGAGAAGGTATTCCCACACTCAGTGCATTCTCTGATGTTGAAAAAGATCTGATCTTTGAGTGAAGTTTTTCCCACACTCACTGCATTCATAGGGTATCTCCCCTGTGTGGATTCTCTGATGCCTAATAAGATGTGAGCTGTGATTGAAGTTTTTCCCACACTCACAGCATTCATAGGGTCTCTCCCCTGTGTGGATTCTCTGATGTTGAAAAAGACCTGATCTTTGAGTGAAGCTTTTTCCACAATCACTGCATTCATAGAGCCTCTCCCCTGTGTGAATTCTCTGATGCCTAATAAGGTGTGAGCTGTGACTGAAGTGTTTCCCACACTCACTGCATTCATAGAGCCGCTTCCCTGTGTGGATTCTCTGATGACTAATAAGGGCTGAATAGTCACGTAAGTTTTTCCCACACTCGGTGAATGTATTTTTTCTCTTTCCCCTGAGGATTTCTTGCTGTGTTGTGGTTTCCTTAAGGCCCTTCTGAGTTCCTGGACAGGAAATACATTTACCCACTTTCACCCCTGGCTGGCTTCCTTGTTCTCTTTCTGGTCTGTGCTGAATCTCACAGGATTTTCCCAGCTCATGACTCCTGGACACATTCCTTTCCGATCTTTGCGATAATTCTCTGAGTTTATCCACTTGCTCAACATTTTCCTGCTGAGAATTTTGCTCCTCACATACCATTGCATCACCTGCTGTGATAGAGATAGAAACCTCAACCAGATATGGAAAGGGGAAGAGCAAAATAAAACAAGTGCTGGAGAGAGGTCAAATAAAGATCAGAAACTGAACTCCCCCAAACAGGAGAGAGGAGGGGATCAACTTGGCCTTCACATCCCATCCAAATTCACAGGGGGAAGAGAGGAAGCTACTGCCTGGTGTCTGCTAGGATTTACAGGAAGTCATAAGCTATATTTATCCTGAGGAGCCGACCCCTGCTAGGGACAATAATGAACAGAGATCTTCCAAGGGCTTTGTAGGGCATCCCAGATGTTTCCTTCAGGCACTTATAGATTATGAGTTGGTTTAATGTTTCCTCACCTGTGCAGGGAGCTCTCAGGAGCTCTCTTTCCTCTGAACGCTGGAGGTCTGGGACCCATGACTCTTCCCCTTGTTCCAACTGGGAGATCACATCAGGTTTTAAAACTGGAAATGCTGCTTAGATGAAAGAAAACAAAGGAATTCAGTTGATTTAATAAGACTTTATCAAAAACATTCTATTAATTTAACTTCAGTGTTTAGTGTGACCTGGTGTGCCTGGGCCAGTCCATACTGAAAATGCCAAGGTCAGGTCAGGCTGAAAAAAGAGAGAGCTGATGCTCTCAAAATTGGTGGTTAACACTAAAGTTAAACTCACCTACCAGTCACAAACTACTTCTGATCCCCCACACTACTATTGAGAAGCTGAAAAAAGAAATCACACAGCCCCCTTTATTGCATTCCAGTTCTGAATCCCAATCAGCACATAGGTACAATACAGTGAGAGGTTATTTAAAAACTCTTCTCACAAACAAAGTGTTCTTCTGACCCCAAAGGGTCAGCCACATTACTGGGCCACTATAGGTTTGGACCTTACCCAAAATACCTTGCTGCCAGCTAATCCTTTGGTGACATTGTTGACAGAATCTGTAACCGTGTAAATCACTGTTGCAACCAGTGTTATAGATTTGCAACAAAATTTGTACAAAGGCTAGCATTTGAGGTGTGTAGGACAAGGTTATGGTTTGCTGGTTATGATTATGCTATCTGTATATGTGTATCGTTTTTGTAGTTGAAGTTATGAATATTGGCTATATACGGTCTGTATTGCAAAATTATGCTATGCTTCTGGGTGACATCCCACACAAGTTGGTATCAGCTCTGCCTAGCCTGCTTGATGAACCAAGAACTTTGCCATTATTGTATGGAATTTATTCAATTTAAACAATTCTAGCTCTTTTTCCTTTAATGAATAAACCTTTAGGTTTCAGATTCTAAAGGATTGGCAACAGCATGATTTGTGGGTAAGATCTGATTTGTATATTGACCTTTGTCTGGGGCTTGGTCCTTTGGGATCAGAAGAACCTTTTACTGGGGTATTGGTTTTCATAACCATTTGTCCCCATAGCGAGTGGCACTGGTGGTGATACTGGGAAACTGGAATTGCTTGCATGACTTGTGGTTAGCCAGCTTGGTAAAACCGAAGTCCTCTCTGTTTGGCTGGTTTGGTTTGCCTTAGAGGTGGAAAACCCCCAGCCTTGGGCTGTAACCGCCCCGCTTGAAGCAATTTGTCCTGAATTGGCACTTTCAGTTGGGTCCCACCAGAATCAGCATTGTTACACCTTTAGCATCAAAACTAAAGGTTTATTATAAAGGAAAGCTAGAAAGAAAAAGGGAGTTGTTAAATGGGAAAGCAGTCATATACATTCCAAAATCTATATATCGGGTTCTTAGTGGTATTGGTGAGTTGCTGTCTTGAAAGTCCATCTGGAACCCATCCACAGTTTGGATGGGTCATCCAGTCCTTTGTTCAAGGCTTCAGTTTGTAGAGAAGTTGCTCCAGATATAGGAAGAGGGATTGAAGACAAAATGGAGATGATGCAGCTGCCCTGTATATTCCTTTTGCCATGTGGCTTGTACTTCCTGTGTCCCAAACACAAGCTTCACAGCACAGGGCATGGAAAAGCCTTGGAGTTCTCAGTACACAGGCATACCCCTGCATGTCTTGCTGACTCAATAGGTGTATCCCCTTGATCACAGGAGGGCAAACTACAGCCGCAGGACACATCCGGCCCGCAGGACGGTCCTGACTGGCCCCTGAGCTCCCAGCCGGGGAGGCTAGCTCCCCCTCTTGCTGTTCCCCCTTCCCTGCAGCCATGCCACTGTGCAGGTAGTGCTCTGGGGGGCGCTGCGCGCTCCTGTGGGGCAGCATGTCTGGCTCCACGTGGGCCACACAGCTGCCAGACATGCTGCTTTGAGCAGCATGGTAAGAGGCTGGGGGGGTTGGATAAGGGGCAGGGAGTCCCAGGGAGCAGTCAGGGGACGGGGTGGTTGGATAGGCGTGGGAGTCCCGAGGGTCTGTCAGGGGCTGGGTGGGTGGATAGGGGTCTGGGCATTCAGGGGACAGGGAGCATGGGGGGCTGGGTGTGGGGGGGGGTCCTGGGAGGGCAGTCAGGGTGGTTGGTCTCGGGAGTGGGCAGTCAGGGGACAAGGAGAAGGGCAGGAGGAATTTGGAGGGGGCGGGGCCAAGCAGTTTTGGGAGCCTTCCCTACCTGGCCCTCCATACAGTTTTGCAACCCCAATGTGGCCCTTGAGCCAAAAAGTTAGCCCATCCCTGCCCTTGATCCTTTCCATGGGCTCATTGTACAGCTGATGACCCTGAATGGGCCATCAAACAGCCTAGGCAGTGCTGACACCAATATGTCTGGGGGTGTCACCTGGAAACACTGCACAAGTCTAGAAATATAGATATTTAGAGTATATCTATAACTCACAATAGAAAGGTGATACAAACATAGAAACAAAATTATCATACTTGGAAAATCATAACATTTTACATGGCATATCTAGCACGATTCATTGTAATTTTATCTCATTGGTATTAATAATAAAATAATAATAATATAAAGTGCCTCAATTCCATACAGTGTCACACTTTGTAAACCAGTGAATTCTCAGGACCAGCTCCCCAGGTCCTTGAAGATGCAAAACACTCTGCTTATGAGGGACTGAAATACCCCCATATCTGCTGGGAACACACACAGACAGTGTGTCAGTCTGTACCCCTATGTAGACCCTTCAAGAAAATTATGACCAATTTTGTACATAGTATAGCTTGTGAGGTATCATTTGAAAACACAATCTACTGAATATTATCCTCCTGTTACAATGCGTAGCAACACTGTATGTAAAGTTATGAGATTTTACTGTATGATATTACTGAAAAAGTTACAATTGTGGGGAACACCCATAGAGCAGTTCCTCAGAGACAGCAAGGCAAACAGCTGGTCAAATAGCCATTCTCTGGAGCGGGAAGGTGTGAAGAAGACATTTACATTCCTTCATAGGGACCACTGGAAGCTTATATCTACAACAGACAGCCTGTCACATGACTCAGCTGAGAACTGAAGTTGTTTCTAGTACAAAGGACTGAGTTATAAAAAGAGGTGAGGAAAATGCTTGAGACTCTCTTTCCCCCCTTTCCCTCTGCTCATGACAACTCCTGAAGAACTGAACTTGGGTAGCAAGGGTGGGTTAGGGGGAGTCCTGGCTGAAAGGAAAGCCAGCCTGTCTCAGCATATGGTGAGAGAAACATTAGCTTGTTAAGTTAAACATTAGTTTGTGTTTTATCTTGCATTACTTTTGTAAACAATTCTGACTTGAATGCCTCATTACTTAACTACCAAAAAAAAAACAGATTTTAACAATCTTGTTTTATTGTTCTATCTAACCAGTGTGTTTGGATGAAAGTGTGTTGGAAACTCCATTTGGGATAACAAGGCTGGTGCATGGCATTTTCCACTGATTAAATGACAGACTTCATATGAGCTTGCGTTGTTCAGTAGTGTGCTGGATGGTGCAAGATGAACATTTCTGGGCGAAGTCTGGGACCAGAGAATTTTCTGGGGTTCTCCTGTGGTGTACTGTAATTCGTGAGTGGCTGACTAGCAGCACTCAATACTGTGTAGCTGAGAGCGAGTTACATGCTGGAGACTGTGTGTTAACTGCCCAGGAGTGGCTGCTCTCACAGTAAAGCTGTGTAAAAGGCACCCCAGCCTGGGGAACTGAGGGGACACAGCTGTTCAACAGTCCAGATTGTACTGTGGTTAATGTCACTGACACTCAGTTTCAAAGACGTTCCTAAAACACCGAGAAACTAAAACCGTGTCCCAGAAATCGAAGTCTCCAGAGAGAGGGCAAGTCTCCCTGGCACTGCTTCTTGCTGACAGAGGTCCAGAGACAATGAGAGAGTCCTGGGGAAGCTGGGAACAGTAAGCATGGGCTGGTGGGGTTCAGTGGAGAAAGGGAACAGGAAGGGCAGGGATATTACTGAATGCAGGATCTCAGCAGTACTAGATGTCAGGATAATACATAGTGCAGCCCATTGGAAAACATAATCCCAACTATACATATAAAATGACGGGGTCTAAATTAGCTGGTTCCACTCAAGAGAGGGATCTTGGACTCACTGTGGATAGTTCTTAGAAAACATCCACTCAATGTGTAGCGGCAGTCAAAAAGCGAACAGAATGTTGGGAATCATTAAGAAAGGGATAGATAAGAAGACAGAAAATACCATATTGCCTCTATATAAATCCATGGTATGCCCATATCTCAAATACTGAATGCAGATGTGGTCGCCCCATCTCAAAGAAAATATCATGGAATTGAAAAAGGTTTAGAAAAGGGCAAAAAAATGATTAGGTGTATGGAACAGCTTCTGTATGAGGAGAGATTAAGAAGACTGGGACTTTTCAGCTTGGAAAAGAGACGAAGTGGGGAGAGGTCTATAAAATCATGACTGGCATGGAGAAAATAAATAAGGAATTTATTTATTCCTTCTCATAACAAAAGGACTAGGAATCACCAAAAAAAAATGTATAGGCAGCACGTATAAAACAAACAAAAGGAAGTGTTTCTTCACACAACGCACAGTCAACCTGTGGAACTCTTTGCCAGAGGAGGTTGTGAAGGCCAAGAGTATAACAGGGTTCTAAAAAAGAACATGATGAATTCATGGAGGATAGTCCATCAATGGCCATTAGCCAGGATGGGCAGGGAAGATATCTGTAGCCTCTTCTTGGTAGAAGCTGGCAAAGCATGACAGGTGATGGATCATTTGATAATTACCTGTTGTGTTCATTCCCTCTGGAGCAACTGGCATTGGCCACGGTCTGAAGACAGTATAAAGGGCTGGATGGACCTAGTATGCCTGGTTTTATGTACTAGGGAATCGAGTGAGTCCAGTGTAATGGGAGGGAGTAGGAAAATCCCTGGGTGTGGAGAACACTGGGAAATTAGAAGCTATAATTCAGGAGCAACAGCCTCTAATTAGCCTGGAAAAGCAGAGTGTGAAAAATAAGAATCGGGGTCTTGTGACTTCAGGAACGAGGAACTCAAAAATCCAAGGAGTCTGCAGTGAACAGAGATTGTGGCTATTTCACATGGTGATGGGGGAGCAAGACTATCCATGTCTCAAGAAGTTTCATTACGAACCTAGGCCATTTTCACATGCTGGGGTGCAATCCAGATCAATGAGGAGTTGTGTCATCTGTAATCCTGGGTGAGATTCAATGTTCTGCTGCTGGATACTCCCAGCCAGCATTCAAGGACACACTGAGTGTCTGTGTGATAATTAACCCTGGACCAGCAGCTCTGACTCTAGCAACTTGTTTGCCACACCCCAAGCACATTCTGGTTTGGGTGGAGTAGGCTCAGTGTTTGAGAGAAGGTCAGGGGTAGGAAGCTTCTGTTCGTTAGGCTGGACCTAAGCCCCCAGTTTTACTTGAGCAAGCAGGAGATATTTGACACTGTGTGATACTGCTCCTGTGCTCTGTTCCCAAAGTGTTCTGCAGCAGGGGAGCGTCTCTGGCAGTGTGTATGTCACTGGCATATTGGGGTGATGCTGAAAGAGGACAGAGTAGAGGTGGTATTGTGGAGGTGGCATGAACCTTAACTCTTCATTTCCCCTTCCAAGAACTGAGGGGACAGGAACCCTTACCCAGCGAGGTCACGTTCTCATAGTTCTCCTGCATGACGTCCCTATAAAGAGCTCTCTGAGCGGGGTCCAGCAGAGCCCACTCTTCCCTGGTGAAATACACAGACACCTCCTCAAAGGTCACCAGCCCCTGAAATAGCAAGAGCCCAACACTCAGTACCTGCTGCTTCACTCACACTCCAAACCAAATGGAAGCTCTGGTAGATTGCAGTCAACAGAGTCCCACCCCCAACCCGCTCAAAGCATCCTGGAAACACCAGGTTAAGGGGATGAAGAGAGAGCCCCTTGTCTCTCCCAGCAGATCCATCACACCCCTACTAGCCACAGACTGATACAGGAGATGGAGCCCCTAGCAGAGTCCAGGAAGGAAGCCCAACACCCTCCTCATTGTGAGAAGCTGCACTTTTTTAGCTCCATGAAGGTAGGTTATTTTCTGTTCCAGAAATGAGGGTATTTCCACCTCCTAACCTCAGGGGTCTGTTCCTAGAATCTAGGCCACTTATTAAACAACTCCCAGCAGGTTTGCCACACCCTGTCCTCCTCCCTCTCTCACCCTGTGAATTTCCTGCTCCACTCCAACCTCCAAATCAGACTGTGCAAACCTTCCCATCTCTGGTGTATTTGGTGTCCTTTTCCCTCCAGTACGAACCCACCAGCAATCCCCCAATAATCCCTACCTGAACTTGCTCCACTGCAGCCATTTTTCTCCCCTGTCCCATGGGAGGATGGGATGAGCTGGAGCGAAACAGGGATGTCATTCTGCAGCCTGGGAGGGTGAGAAGGGTAATTGTGGGGGTTTCAGAACAGGCTTTAGTTCATTTCACATCACGATCCTTCCAGGCCCTTTCCCTGCAGACAGACATCCTAGAGTCTGCCATGCTGGGAAAATGCTTGATCTCTTTATTAGAGTGTAGACCTGGCCCCTACTCCCTTTTCCCTCCCCCCATCCCATAACAAAGTCTCTGAACACAATGCTAGAAAAGAGCTGAACCAAAGGACTCCCTGTGGGGGATTCTCTTGGACACTGACCCCACAGCAGCAGAAATATGGAGTGAGAAACTGGCTTTTCCTCTGTCTGATCCTTATTTTGTTCACTGGAAAGTGATTGTGCCCAGGGATCATAGACCCATAGAATATCAGGGTTGGAGGGACCTCAGGAGGTCTCCTAGTCCAACCCTCTGCTCAAAACAGGGCCAATCCCTAATTTTTTCCCCTAATTGGCCCCTTGAAGGATTGAACCCACAATCCTGGATGGTTCAATGCTCAAACCACTGAGCTATCCCTCCCTGCCTATGCCTATGCTGCAATATATGTGTCAGGGTGGATTAGAGAGCAGGAAATCTCTCTCCCTCCACTCATTTCTATCACTGCCCCTTTCAGTCTCTCCTTCCCCGTCCTCTCTCCCTGCCCCTCTGGCTGCGAAAGTCCCATTCCTTGGTTATTTGCTCTCCCATGGCTGAATTTTCTCCTGGCAATTACTAATGAGAGGAGAAATGACGGGGGGCTGTTTGTTCAGTCAGTTTCATGACAATCCCCAGCACTTTCCCTGATAAGAGGAGAATTTTATATTGCTAGTTGGAAAAGGGGGACTGTTTGACTGGATTTTATACCACTGTCCGATACATAAACAGAAAGTGATAGTCTCCCCCCGTGCCACCTCCCCACCATGCACATGGGCAGCAGGGAGCCCTTTGAGGAGCTGATTTAAGAGGGTAAGGGAGAAGGAGGGGGAGCTGGAAGGATCCCTGCGTGAGGGAAGGGGCAGCTGTCGGGGATGGGCAGGTGATTGCTGTGGGCAACTGTGTTGGTAATTAGGGGGCAACAAGTGGGATTAGGAAACTGGGGTCTGGGCAGTCTCCGTGGGGGACAGGTGTTCCTCCCTTCCCCGCCCTGGCAGAGAACGGGCATCTCATTCCATCCCCACCCAGGGGCAGCCATGTTTTAGGGAGTGACTCAGGGCAACAATTTCCCACCTAGACAAGGACAAATCGCTGCAGATAAAATGGGTGGGGAAATCCCCCTCATTGGAGAAGATTTTAAATTGACATTTGAGAATTATGGAGAGAACGGGGGAAGTCGGGGGAGACGAGAAGTGATCATTTGTGGGGAAAGGGGGGAATCTCCTCAGATTTTATAGTCACGTGTGAGATACTGAGAGAGAAAAGGGGAAGAACTAGAGAGAATTTGTATCGGGTGTAAGAGGCAAGTGGCACAAACAGGGACAGGATCCAATTAACTCCCCTCCCCCCTTCCCCAGTACGCCAGTTCTCCCCCGGGGATTTCCTGCTGCACAGAGACAGTTCAACCCCCCCCCCCCGCGTCCCACTGACCTTCCCCCCCCCCGCCAACTCCGGCTTCTCCCCACTCCACAGGGGACCCCCCCCCGCCGGGCCCAGTCCCAGCGGTGCCGGGG